TGGCTCCTTGTCCACAAAGTCCTTGTAGGTGACCTCAAACCGTCCCAATCGCTCCGCGCCTTGCGAAGGGCTGGCCTCTTTCTGGGTGTGGTCGATCAAGTTCCCGTCCTTTCGAGCTTCGAAGCGTCAAGGCCGCTACCGCTATGGCCGCTATGGCCGCTTTCGGCCTCGTAGGAATTGATCCAGGATTTGCGATCGTCGGCACGCTTCCTTCAAAATGTCAGGCATCCAGGTGCTGACGGCTGAGGCGAAAGAGAAGCGAGGCAAATGATGAACCCTTGTCTCTTCCAAGCGACTTGTTAAAGGCGAGATCGATGGCGCGATCATCTTCCACACCATCCTCGAACACAAGCAAATGGTCAAGCCAGATCGCATTATGAATTGTGCAATACAAGGCAAGAACATATCGGTATTTGATCTGGTGCGTGTCCAGGGCGCTGAAGTATTCCTGTCCAGGGCGCTTCTTCGATATAAAACTCAAACGCATTGTGCCTTGGCTTCTTTTGAGGTGCTGGTCCCCAAACCTGTTCACATCCATGCTCTACGATGAGTGGCCGCCAGTTTGTACCAGCGACAAGTTGACACACTGCCAACAACTGGGCCTTTGTAGTACTTGATCTTGAAACCTTTTCCGCCTTCAGTTTCTTTTTTCCATGCCTCAACGAATCTCCAGCAAGTGCTTGCACGCACAGTCGAACAGCCTGGCCTCATACTCGGGAAGTGTGTAGAAGCATATCTGCGACTTGCCTAAGTGAGGCATGAATTCGAGCTTTACTCGAAGGCTTCTGGGCCGGGCCCTTGGTGGCTTTCACAATCGGAGTAAAGAACTCCTGGCGACATGGACTGCAAAGCAGCAAAGAGGCAAAGACTTCTCAAAGAACATGCACGGATCAAATGCACAAAGAATGCGAAAAGAATGCAAATGGTTCTGTTCTCCTTGACAAATCCAGGAAGCCTCGCTAGAGATGGCCACCAGGCGTGGATCAGGTTGATCCTCAGGGTGCGCACGTGCGAACACGATGAAGCCGAGCATGTGGCTTCCCGCGGCTGCCAAGTGGCAGTAGCCCCTTGATATGGGAGCCATCAGTATCCTGCAGAGCATCAGAGCGAGGCAAAGTTTGCGTCTGCTCTTCCACTCCTGATCTGCCATGATCATGATGGAGCCATAGCGCAGCCCTCTCAGTTCGGCGTCATACCTTTGTCTCAACTTGTCACATTGATCTGCACAAACCTTCACGGATGCGTCAACGTCAATGCCAATCCTGGGGTCCTGGGGTCCTGGGATCCTGGGATCCTGGCTCGCGGTTCAGATCCAGGCCGATGATTTTAATCAGGTTCTGTATCTCCTTTGAGCTGCAGTCCCACTTCAGATCTGTGTCCCCACCTGCCTCGTTGGCCATCATCTGCTTCAAGGTCGCATCCCGCACGTTGAGCACCTGAAGGGACAAGGCAACCAGTCAACCAGTGAACCAGTGAACCAACAAGGCACCAAAATCGAGAAAAGATGAGAGTCAACAATTCCGAGATTCGCCTTACCACGCAATGGGAAGACACCCCACTTGTCACGGCCGATGACGCTGAGGCCAGCAACTGCCAGGGCCTGCCAAGCCATGCTGGCAGCAAAGGTGAACAAATACCCTGAAGCGATGGCAATCATAAGTTCCCAAAAATGAGCCGGCAAGCCTTGGCTGAGTCTCCCTCAGTCAGGATGAGCGTGCACTCTTGGGAACTCTTCCCACCTTTCACACGCTCACAAGCAAGGGTGGGTAAGTGTCTCGTAGCTCGACCTAAAATTGCACGTTTTGCCTTCCCAAGGGGAGCAGAACATCACAGCTTTGCCACAAAGAGCCAAGTGTACTGTACAGATTGCAAAGCCAAATGTCCTGAGGACGCAGTGGGGCAAGGCGCGCCTGCATCATTGGCATCTTCCAGCTTGGGGATGCCGGTGAGCCGCGTCACGCGGCCAGTATTGGCCTTCAATGTCCGTTGGCCTGGTCACCTACGACCCTATCGCCATGTTGACCTGGCCCGGGCCTTGAGTTTCTTGCCCAGGTCCACTTTGGATTTGGCCATGGCCGCCATGAGAATGAGATCCACCACGCCACAACTGGCAACCTCACTTGATCGGGGAGAACAAAAAGCGCCACGGGATGCCACACGCAAGACGCCCGCGCGAGCGCCCCTCGCGAAGCGTGCGACGCGCCTCCGAGAGAAACTTCTCGGAGAGCTCGCAGCGCGACCCGAACTTGGACTGCTTGGTGGTCAAGGTTTCCTGGCGTTTTGGAGAACACGTCAAGCTTCTTGTTTGTAATCTGAGCATCTGTCCTTGGTTTGGGAGTCAAAGGCGGGATTCTCGATCAAGCATTTGATGAAGACCCAAATATGATTCCTTCGCTCATTTGCACATCTCGGGCGTCGCCAGATTCGACACGAGCCTCACATGGTGAGGCTTGACGTCGACCCCTCCTTTCACCTTCTCCTTGCTCTGCGCCTTCACCTTTTCCAGGATGGCCTGTCTGTCTGTCTGGCGGGCGCGGACAACGAGTGATTCGGCGTACCTCCACAACCTGGTCCGAGACGTGGGTCACGTGGGTGCCGCCACGGATGGTGCAAATGGAGTTCACAAAGCTCACCTTTACATCAGGCAAAGCGCATCCTGACCTGCTGAGTACCTACTGCCTTCAGACCTGCAGATGGCTGGACAAATGAGAAACATACAATAGGTCCTGGTCCTGCGGTCCCATCTTTGCCTCCCCCCACCAGCCTGATTGAAGCCACTCTCTGTGAGGCTGACGCAAATCTCCCACCTGGCTACGTCTGGGCTCACAGGTTCACAGGATCACAGGCTCTGAGTCTCCAAAGCGGACCGCGCCTGTCCGAGCACTTCTCGTAGACCTGCGGCACGCCCTGGCGGGTGAGCCTGGCAAACGTCACTCGTGACTCGGAATGGGACATTCCGAGCAAAGCCGGTGGAGCAGGTAAAGATCGCAGTAATCCCGGAAACTCTTCACGTCCAGCTTGTCGCCATTGAGGTAGACAGTGCATTTCTCCTCAGAGCAAGGCACTGTGCGAGTCAGTTCCACAGTGAATTCCACCTTCGAGTCCAAGTGGCGAGTGTTGAACCGGCAATATCATAAACTCGCTTCGTCAGGAGTGACACAATGTCATCCTTGGCAGACTGCGCAGCAGTGCTTTCAACCTCCGCTTCCACTTCTCCGTACCAAAATAGCTAGATAGCAGCCCCCAGACTAAGACTGCTCCACCGAAACCTCTTTTGAGCCGTGCGACGTCCAGCTTGGTCATGCCAAACTTGGCCAGATCTGGCTTGAAGGTGATGCAGGTGAAGGGCTTCTCCTGCCCAGAGAGCCAAGTTCTTCACGGGGCCAAGTTCTTCAATGTGACACTTCGGTCAAGTCCTTCGTTGCCACGATCTCGGGCTTACCCTTGGCCTGCGCGGAACGAGCTACAAACAGAAAATTCCCGCAAGCCGCCCAGCCTGCATGTTGTTGCGGAAGACCTGGCTGAACCTCGGATGAGCATGCTAGATATCCATGCACATGCAACAAATGCCTGATGTTCCGGACTCCAGAAATCTATGTCCCTCGGCCTGTTCTTGCCATCGCAGGTCTCCACCTTGAACTCCGTGGAGAACACGTTGGCCAACTTGGCGCCGTAGCCGTTGCGGCCCCCCACCACCTGACGGGGGCAAAAAGGGCTCACGGGCTGACGGGCTGACAGGCCTTGCTGGCCGAGTCATCGTAGTTGTCGCTGGTGAGCAAATGGCCGAAGACCATTTCGGGGACATAAACCTGGCGGCCCATGTGATAAAGGGTTATCACACAAAATGGGATGTATGACTGTACGACCACGAGATGATATTACAATTGCCACTACATAAAGGGTATCTAGCCATTGGGGGGCAGTGGTTTGGGAAAATGCAATGCAACAGAAAGCGTCCGGCATGCCTTGCATATCGCACAGCTCGTTTTGGCATTCGCTGGCTCTGGCGTACTCCGGTGCATCTACGCATCTCTGCCACAGTCCGCAAACATCTCGCTGGGGCTGCCTCCACCTTGGCCTTCAGGTTGATGTTACGCCGGATCTCGTCTTGTGGGCGTGGGATACAAACCACCTCTGGCATCCCTTCATCTGCTCCACTCGGCTCAATCCGAATTGGCTGGTCTCATCTCTTGCAGCTCTTTCAGCTCCTTCATCTCGTTGTCCGTGGCTTCCCTTGCTGCTCCCAGGGGCAGCGAGCCCAGCACGAATGGACCCACCCGAGTTCCTCAGTCTTGGAGGTGCTACACACCCCTGCCTGCCATGCTTCCATGAGCATGTTCTAAGCGGTCTCAACAGCAAAGTACAAAAAGGTCATGCGTCGCATCAGCCATTCCACGTTCAAGCCGATTCTTTGGCACATTTGGCGAAGCTGTCGATTCCGGCCTAACATGAAAACTATGACATAAAACTTGGCACGTGCACTTGTACATGCGCCTTCATGAAGTACAACCTTTTCGCCTTCATGAAGTACAAAGCGCAGCACCGCTTTCTCACTCTCGGATTGCCTGGTCAAGCAGCAAACCGCAAAGCGACCGAGACAAAGAGACACACAAAACCAAAAAGAAAATAACAAGCAGCAAACCGCAAAGCGACCGAGACAAAGACTAGGCACGGCACACAAGTCTCACGGAGCATGGCATAGTCCTCCTTCTCTTGCCATCATTGATGTGAACACCTGCTGACGCCAAGCCAAGCCGCCTGTTTCATGGCGAGCCAAGCCGCCTGTTTCATGGCTATGACGGCTTAGATAGCAACCACATCAAAGTCTGGCAGGAAAGCGGAGCCTGCCCGCAGCTGGTCCAAAGAAATTTCACTGGGCAACGGCACCACTCGCAGGAGATACTCCTGAAGCCCAATCAACAGGTCGCTTGACATCGCTCAATCTTCGACTCTCTCTTTCCCTCGCTCTCTCTCTCTCTCTCAACAGCCGTTCTGACTTTCAAGCCGACTCTTGCAGCTGTGTCCCTTTCAAGCTTCACCTCGGGCTCCGTTCTGTCTCCGCACTGTCTCCGCACTAGATCCGCATTTTCTGTCACGTCGCACCCCCATCGCTGCCGTTGTCCTTGTCGACGCTCTCATCGCTCGTTAGAAACGCGGCCAGCGCGTTGGCGTCCGTGAGGAGCAGCAGCCCCACGCTGTTGGCATCCAGCCGCCCCACAGGCCGCAGCGCCGGCACCGCGCGCAGCTGCCCTCGGTATGGCTCCGGCAGCGCGTCCTGCAAAATGAAGCAAGTAAAGCACCACAAGTGCCACCTGCAGTACCCGTGAACAGAACACTGTCATGCTTTTGGGCAGGCTTGGTAGCTGAATCAAGTCCTGAAGAGGCTTGAGGTGCAAGTCGCTGGCACCACTGGAGGCTGTGCGCAAGGAGGTCACAACTCCAGGCGGCTTGTTGAACAAAACCACGCCTAAGTGACTAAGTGACTGCTGCATGTGAAACGCAAAAAGCACACTGTAGAAGTCTAGCATGCGTCTCCCAAGGCACGAGGGGGTCTTGACTTCCAGTCCGGCAGTGTCACCGGGCCAAACCCGTCCACAACCACCACGTCAGCAGTGTTCACTGCGTGGAAAGGGTCCAGCACAACCGCCTCAAGAAGGACTGGACTTGGGTCCAGTCTCTGGGACGTGGAGAGAGTGGGGGGAGAGTCGTGCATTAGCCGCATATGAGAAATGAGAAGTTTCCTCGGATTTGACTTTCTTTCTTTCAGCGCATGTTCTTTCTAGAAAGGGGGAAAAGAAGTGTTGAATAAAGGGAAAAGCGGCTTTTTTTAGCCCAGCGTGTGTCTTTTTCTTTTCCTTTCTTTTCTCCTTTTTCCGGATGTCTCCTTTCCTTCTTCGTCTTTTCCGGACTCTTTTCATTTCTTCTCTCTTTCTCTTTCTTTTCTTCTCTTTCTTCTCTTTCTTCTCTTTCTTCTCTTCTTTCCTTTTTCTTCTTTCCGAATTATCCGAGGCACGCCGTTGACCCGCACTTGGCCCGCGCGGACTTGGCGAGCAGCTTCCCTGCGGCTCAGCACGCCCGCCTCGCGAGAGGAAAGAAGGAAAGAAGGAAAGAAGGAAAGAAGAAAGAAATGAAATGAGGAAAGGAAAAGAGAAGGAAAGAGAAAGAGAATAGAGATGAAATGAGAAAATGAGAAAATGAGAAAGAGAAATGAAATGGGAAAGAAATAAGAAGAGAGAGACAGAGAAAAGAAGGAGAAAAGGAAAGGAAAGAAATTGAGAGGGAAAATGAAAGAAAGAAGAAAGAGAATGATAGAAGAAAGGAAGAGAAGGAAATGAGAGAGGCAAAGAATGAGGAAAATAACTCAAAGAGAGAGAAAAGATAAAGAGAATGAGAGAGAAGAGAGATATGCGGAAGACTCGATCCGAACCGCAACCAAATCCACACCTAAAACTGAGCACCTGAGCAATGAGTCAAGAAACGGGGGCGAAACAAGAAGTCTGGTCTAACCTCTCTCCTCGGTCTAACCTAATTTTGACAACCCGACAACTGAGCACCGAAACCTTTCAAAATCTCGCGAGTGAAACGCCTCTCGAACTGCGCTCACTGCGGTCCTTGCTGAGAAACCGCTCCAACTTGTCGCAGCGAGCCGTCCTGAGGCGCCAAGGCGCAGGTGGCACAGCAATTGGACTGAGAAACAGAGAAACTTGAAAACACGCGACTCCAGTTCAGCTCCTCCCAAGTACGGCGGCACAGGCCACACTCCGCCTCCAAGGCCCATGCGCATCTTGCCGGAGGAAACCTGCCGGTACTGCCGGTCCTGCCGGTCCTGCCGGTCCCACGGTCCCAAACAAGCTCCAAGAGCATCTTGCCAAAGCTGAAGACTGCGAGCACTCTGAGCACTCAGCACTCTGAACTTTCAAACTTCCGAACTCTGTCCTCCCCAGAAACACGGCACAAGCATCAAAGCAGGCTGGCTTGAGCCAAGCTCAAATCCAGGCACTCAAGATCGCGGTGAGACCTCTTCAGCACCGGGCAACAAAGCTCCCCCCCGCCTTCTGCTCCTTGTGCATCACCACAGGGAGACCCCTTCAGCGCTAAGTATCGAATATCGAATGCACATGTCAAGAACCGAAGCAGACGAGTGAATGGGTGACTGATGATCGCACGTGACCGCAGTCCTTCCATTGTTCCAGACAGAGAGAATGCCCTTCTGCTGATCAATGTCCACTTTGATAGCGTCCATTCCCTTGAAATGGCGCGTTCAATTGGAGGAAACATCCAGCATCAGAGTGCCTGCGGATCCCTCTGCAAGTTGTCCGCGGCATTCACCAAGATCTCGTCAAATATTTTGTACAGCGCAGGTACCTGGAGATGTTGGCCACTTCAAGCAGGCCACACTCAGGCATGTCGCACGAAGCTGATCTTTCTGTACACCATTCGGCTTTGAACCGAGTCAAAGACCCACAGCTCCTATGGGAAAATCACATCACTCTTGGTCTCATGTCCATGCGAACATCGCATGCTTCTGTTCATTTCCGAACCTGTTGCTGCACTTCCGTGGAGCCCACATAGGTGTCTGGCCGGAGCAGAATGTGCTCCAGCCTGGGCATCGAAGCCTATCGCCGGCTCGCCTTGGCTCCCTGCAAACCGCACACGTGAGGATTTCGACTGGCGAGCCGAAGGTCCAACGCTTGACCGGAGAGATCGGTCAGAACCTGCCTTTGAGGCAAGATGAAAGCAGCACTTGTGGCAGCTCAGTCTTTTCACAGGGTCATGACTCATGCAAGACCACAGCCTCATAATTGGGGAGCTTTGCTCATTTCTCGGACTTTGTCTCTGAACTGCTTTTGATCCTTTGGATGTCCAGCTCAGTTTTGAAGAACAAGGAACCAGCACCTCAGACTTGCGATTGCCCTAGCACTCCAGAACCCGCTTGCAGTCAAGGTGCGCGACATCCCCCGCCTGCACAGGCGCAGGACTTTGCTGACACGCCAGGCCGAGCCATTCTCAGGTTAGTTAGGCCTCCAAATATTAGTTTCGTTGGACATTTTCCAGAGTTTTGCAATATGTTTGCCGTACTTTCCTACATTTGTTCATGCATGCTCCACATTTCGGCTCCGCCTCGGGGCTCGGCGCAAGCGCTCCCAAGCTTCAGCTTCGTCCTCCTGGCGCTTTAAGCGCAGGGAAGCACGCACGACGCCCAGGTGCTCCTCCTGAAACGAGAGAAACGTGAAACGTGCTGAAAGCTGTCAACTAACTCAACCCAAAGCAATTCGATTTCTCAACCTTTTAATCTTCTTCTCCAACTTGTGCCCTGTGTGCCGAGCATCGGTCTGCTTCTCTGTGAGTCGCTTCATCAACCTCAAGAAGTCTGGAAAGCGCAGGGCCCTGCCGTAGTAATGTCCTGCGCATGGCAATGCGTCCCCTCGGATGCGCACAAAAGTATTCTGGCAAGCGGCGGTCAAGCTCCTCCAAGATGTGTTGAAATCGGCACCGTTGCTCCTAAGCACAATTCCTTAAAAAACAGTTCTGGCATTCGCTTTCGTCGTTTTCGTCCTGGCTGAAGTCTGCTGCGGCGAAGTCGAACATGTCCAGAATATCATCGCTGCTGACGGCACAGTTGTGGTATGCCTCGCGAATCCAAGGCGCCATCGGAGCCAAAGACGGCGCCCCAGCCTTCCTGACGAAGACATCGCGGAAGCCTCTGCGCTCGTCAGTGCTGAGGCCCATCTCCTTCACCAGCTGCTCCTCAGAGAGACCGAGTCAGTCTCAGTGACTTCAGCCAACTGCCTAACCAGAAATTCTGCCTAATATGCCTTACTATGCCTTTCCTCTCCCAGCTCAGAGCTCTCCTCTTCATCGAGATCTTGGCGGCAAACCTAAGCGATGGCTCTCAGGAAGAAAAAGATGAGGAAAAAATAAGCTCAGGTGATATCTCCAACAGAATGCAGTGCTCGCACCACCCCGCAGCCCTCGCAGAACCTCGTGGAACCCTCGTGGAACCCTTGTGGACCCCGGTGGAACCCTCGTGGAACCTTACCTCAGGGCCGCCCCGGACCACCCCGGAGCCTATCTGGGCTGAGACCCCAAAGTTTTCAGCTGTTGGGGGAAAAAACGAGATCAAGAAACTGCCAGGATCCTGACCTCGTCTTCGGCCATGCGCACAAAGCCCAGGAAGGCTTCAAAGGTCCAGGAACCTGCCCACTTCTCATTGACCTGCAGCCAAAGCATATCCGGACTGCATTGGACTGCAAATGCATCAGCCAGTCGCACCTCCTCGATGTATTGCTTCGTGATGGTCTGCTTGCGTGAGCACGTGGAATAAGTAGGAAAGGCATCCAGGAAGAGCTGAGGGCATCGAATGGGCGAATCGATGAGCAACTCTAAGAATCCACTTGCAGTTTGCTGGCCTGTGGCAACTTGGCTCCAGCTACGAAGCCTTTGTCATCTGGATCGTATGTCTTAAAACTCAGCTGGATCCGGCATGCATAAAACGCGCAAAGCAAAACCCTCACTGCCCACTTTGGATTGATGTGGTGTTCCGTGGCTGTTCTCCGCGCAACGGGTGGAAACTCGGCCATTTCAGCAGAGCTGCTGCACTTTCAGCTCGGCAACTTGCTCCGGCGTATAGCCCGAATGGCTCTGCATGAACTTAGTGTCGCCTCAGGTGTTCAGGCATCGAGGCATCGCACAAAGGCATGGTGGCATCGAGACAAAACAACAGATTCTTGCACCAAGTGGCTTCCCCGCATCAGCTTGCAAACGTGCCTCATCTCTCAACCGACTGGTTCACACCAGTCACACCAGTCCAAGGTGAAGACTCAAATGAAGTGAAGCACAAGCCCATGGAGTGCAAGCCCAGAAGCTTCAGCCTTGCACGGCGTTTGTCACGAGTCATGGAACGAGGCATGGAACATCATGCCAAGCGTGCCAAGCGTCATCCCACCCAGCACGGTCTTGTCGGGTTGGTAACCTCTGAATCTCGACGTCCGAAAGCATCTCTATAAACGTTACGCGGCCATCGCTCCCGGCTCCTCTTTATCCCCTTTTCGTGCAGCTTTCCATGCTCCCAAACTCCGAGCTTGGTAGAAACGACAAACACGTCACAATGTGACGCGTGCACCGATAGAGCATTGAGCCTTCACGTCATTCCCTCTCTCACTCTCTCCTCTCTAAAGTATACCGGCACAAACGTGACCACTGCTGATGTCAATGTTGAAAGGCCACGCTGTGTACCCTCCCTCCAACAATCATGGAAGTTGACAGGAGAGCTTTGGAAGGCTATTTTCCTTTTGGGGAACCCCTTTGTGCACTTCCATGATTGTTGGAAAGAGGGTATCTCTCCAGTACATGTACAAGAGAGCATATTGTGGCACTGTTCATCGAGTCATCTCCTTCCTCCAGCGTTGCTTGCTGTTGTAGCGCGTCTGTTACTTGCTCGGCTGATTGCGCTGCAGTAGGGTTGGGTAGCGTTGATCCATCAAGCCCAAAGCTGCGAATTTGAACTTCCATTTCAACGTTGCATAGCTAGAACGTGTTGGGGGTGTGATATCTGAGTCCAGCATGTTGCGCCGTACGTGTTATGCGTAGGTCCGGGAAGCCTTCATTTGCTGCTGTGGCTCCGCTACCATATAAGATTCACACGTGTGACTGCTGAGGTCAATGTTGATCTTTTCTCTCTCCATTGCTGTGCGGTATGAGCCGCTCAAGGGAAATGCCCAAGCAGTTGACATGCACAAGAGAGCATGCGCTCTTCATCCTAACATTGTCTCTCTGTTTTTTCTCCCCCCATTCCGGAACCCTCCCAAACTTCCGCCTCGCACACGTGCCATGGTGGCCGCGAGGTCCCTGGAGCCAATTCCGCGAACGAAGAAGTCGAAACCAAAAAAAGCAACGCTTTCTACGGACTCGGCGAGGAAAAGGTTCTGAATTGAGTGAGACACAGTCGCAACTCATAGTAACTGTCAAACTGAGAGCAAAAGATACACGACACGAGTCGCATGCAAACCCGGGCTTGCGCCTGGCTGGCAATTTCTGGGCTCGGCAGGCCGCCAGGAAGGCATTGCGCCGCGTCTCGGCTTCTTTCGCCAGCAGTCCTGGAAAAGACGCGACCTGTCGGCAAGTCGGCACACACGGCAAGCCACGGAGTCCTCGAACCAGCGTCAAGGCTTCAGGCAAGGAAAGCAGCCCATTCCCTTCCAGGTCGAAGTGGAACAAAGCCTGCAACACGTCCTGGCAGTCGCGCGTGTGCGCTCCGGACTCGCGCGGCCGGCCCGGCCGGCCCCGGCCCCGGCGGCCCCGGCCAGGCTCCTGCATCGTGACATGGAAGCCAGCTCGGCGCAGCACCTCTGTGAGCTCCTAAGCGAATCGAAGAATCGAAACGGAGTGGAAGTTGAAATTGGTTTGAAATTTTGAATTGAAAGCGATTTGGGAGTTCTAAGGCTGCATCCAAGGCGTTGAGTTGGCCACGCTTCGTTTTGTCCGCACTCATGAAGGACTGGCCCAAGTTCTTGTACTGCTCCCGCGTGAAGCCTGACCTCAGCAGGTGCCCCACACGCCAAAAGTGCAAAATCCCTCAATGCCTCCCAAAGTTCAAATGTCAAAATGCGGCGAGCTACGCCTGCCTGTACTTCTGGAGAAACAAAGCCAGCTCTTCTGGCGTCAGAGACACGCACTCGCGCGCACCGATAGCCTCCAGGTGCTCGTTGATGGCATCCTCATCCGGATAATATCCAAGACCGCCCAGGGCAAGTGGTAGATCCGTCACCTGGATAGTAATGCCGGACAAATGCTTGAAAACGCACCAAACGCGTCAAGCCCGACCTCAATGGCGTTCCGCCTTTCCGCGCTATATGTCTGGATTATCTCCAGCATCTGCGTCCTTTCTAAATCCTGAGCTCTGGGTATACTTTCTGGGCTCGGAGATTTAGTGGGCAATCCAACAAAGCATGCAAGTGGGGAGAAGCCAGAGAGCTTGCCTTCAAGGCAGCCTGCCTTCAGGCAACGAATGAGGCGCAGCATCTGCCGGAAGTTCACGCCGTCAGCACCGAGCTTCTCGGCCATGCGATTCACCTCTTCCTGGCACAAGACTCGATCTATCGACCTCTCTGCGAGTCTGCGAGTCTGCGAGTCTGCGAGTCTGCGAGTCTGCGAGTCTGCGAGTCTGCGTCTCCTGTGTCGTGGGGAAGCCGCGGAGCATCATCACCTGCTGGACCTTGTCCAGGCTGCAGCGATCAACTGGCTCCTGGCAGCGCCTTCTCGCCCCTCGGCCCACGGCATGCCGGTCCTTGCGGTGCTCCGAAGTCTTCTCGACTTCGAAGAAGGCGTTCAATTCGCGGAGGTCGGACTGGCTGAAGCCTCAGCCGCGTTGGAGCCCCGCTCGCTCCCCCCGCTCCCCCCGCTCCCGCCCTACTAAGTTACTAGCCTTCGTTGAGCCGGAGCTGGCCTTGGCAACTCGAGAAGCTGAGGACTCACAACCATTCCAGGTCCGAGCACAGCAAATCCTCAAAGTCGGCAAGGTCCATGTTCTTCGTCCTGTCCTTCCTGCCGTTCTTCTGGCTCTCGTCAAAGGCCTGGCATGGCACTAGTGCTATCAAAGCCCTCAAGTCCGATGCCTGTAGAGCCGCGGGCTGGCCCAACTTGCACAGCAGGCGCTCCACGTCCTGAATTCAAAACATACAACGAGCCCACAGAGCCCACAGAGCCCACAGAGCCCACAGAGCCCACAGAGCCCACAGAGCCCACAGAGCCCACAGAGCCCACAGAGCCCACAGAGCCCATGTCGCCTCCGCGGGCGCCACACCGCGCAAGATCTTGGCGTGGGCGGCGCGCTCCAGGCGTCGGTAGTCCTTCAGCACCGACACGAAGTCCGGCCAGTCCTCGGCCACTCAGCGACTCAGCGACTCAACGACTCCGCGACTCACGGCCGTATGAACTCAGCTGAGAACGAGGGTCGCATAGATGTTTCCTGCCAAGGCCTGATCCAAGCAGTCCTGCAAAGGAACTTGTACGACTTTGCTGAATGCTTGGCATGCGTCCTGATTCGCCTCAATGCCAAAGTCGGCCAAAATCATCGGCAAATCATCGACGCGTATCTCGCTCTCGCGAGCGTGGCACCAATGCCTTGGCCCCCGCATTACCCACAACGGGAACCTTCGGTCAGCCTGGAGGCCGGACTTAAAAATTGTGCCAGTGACTGGATCCAGAGACTCGTTGAGCTCATCCTGCCGTGGACACGCCGCAAGAAAGCCAAATTTGGAATCGCCAGCCCGCCTCATCCGCAGACTCAGGAAGCCAAACCGGAACCAGCCCGTTAGAGGCCACCACCATTTGCAGAGCCTCGGAACTTGCCAAAAACAACGAAGTCAACGAATCAAACAATCGTCCCATATCGCCAATATACATCTCTCCCCTGCCTTGCCCGGATGTTTCCAGCGTCCTGTCAGGGACGTTCAAAGTCGAGTCGTAGACATTGGGTCACCCGATCACCCGATCACCCGGTCCAGCTTTCGGTGCCATCTTGCAGCTGAGTCGGGCCAGCACTCCCTTGGAGCCCTCGGCCCAGGCTCCGTCGAGATAGCCCTCGCCCTTCAGAGACTTCAGAGACTTCAGAGACTTGTTGCACTTGTTCTTCCGCAGCCACACGGAGCTCCACACCTTCGAGTCGCGCAACCCCGCGCAACTCGGTTAACCCGCTACATCCAGGTTGACCCCTGAGGCCGCGACTGTTGCAAGGCTCTTGTGCTGCTGCTCATCCAAGACGGGCACGGCCGGCGCGTTGCGCGCGTCAGGCGCGAGATGCACTCGCCGCTCTTTCCAAAGACTTTCAGCCTCTTCGGCCTCTTCGGCCTCTTCGGCTGCATCTTCGGCTTCCATCAGCAGCTCCAGTATTTCTTGAGCTTCTGCCAGGCCCGTGTCCGTGCCTCTGGCTTCCGGCTCCTCCGCTGGCTGTTCCAGCACATGAGGCTCCTGACTGCCAGGGCGAACGATGCATTACGATGCATTGCATATGCATCCCACTCCTGGCTTTCCTTTGACTTCCGCTTTTTCCTGTCCATGAAATGCTTACACAACGTCGGAAACACTTTTCAAGTGCGCCCAGGCACTGGTTTTTCACTCGCGCAGTGTCCACACTTAGGAGGACCGGCAAGGACAGTCTCCCTGCGCTCGCCTTACGGAACTCAATTGGCGCTGCCCTCTCGTGTCCCATCTCAGACGAGGCGCGCGCACGCTGGGGGTTCCCTCCGGCCTTGCTCGGGGCCGCCACCGCCCCTGCTGAAGATCCTATCGCTGAGGATTCGTTCGCTGTGCGTGCCGTGCCGCCGTGCCGCCCTGAAATTGCAAAATTGCAGCATTCGGAAAGGCAAGGCACGAGAGCGCTGGAAGACGACGAGGGCCGCCTCCGAACTTGCGTAGCCAAACATGCGTCAAACCCCGTCTCAGTCCACTCTCTCTCAAAAATGGAACACTGTCTATCGCCTCCCTGGTGCGCTCTGAGGCCGACCTCAAGCGAGGCGCGAGCGTCTCGCAAGCCTATGCCCTCTGACTGCATGCCAAGCGAGAACCCGGTGTCGGTGGAGTAACTGCGAATCTGACATGCTTGATTGAAAACGCCCCGTTGACAATGTAAGCAGCAGGTGTTTGTGTCGGTAGAGTCAAAAGGCGTCTTTATTCAAGTACACACTTCCAGTGCAAAAGTGGTCCAACAGGATTTAATGCATTGCCCTGCCAAGCACCTCTCAATCCTGCCTTCCGCTTCAAAATGAGCAAATAAGCGAATAATATGAAAGTAAGAAGACAAACTGACATTGGTCAGAAGTCTCCGACGTCGGATGGGCTTCTCGGCGCTTGGACGTGTTTAACACGGGAAAAGCAAAGGCCGAGCACACGTCTTGATCGCCTGAGTGCTGAGCTTTGGCGCAAGCATAGGGCTGGGTGTCCTCCAAACATGCAGAATGGCCACGGTTGCCTGTGACTCGACCGCCTTCAGACGTCAAGCTTGGCCGCTGCGCACTGAGAGGTCGACTCTCGATCTGCAACATTGCACTCATTTGCACTCCCTTTCCCCGGCCATTCCCTGCCTTCGCTGGGCTTGCCACCCCTGGCCCTCCTGGCCCCCCTGGCCCTAGCTTCTCCTTGGAAGGCCTGGGCGTCTCGAAGTGCGGTGCCATCTCGGCACTCGGAGCTCACATTTCAAACCAAGCTGCCGCTCTCGCGCGACGCCTCATATTCACTATGGCTCAACCTTCCTCGACACGCAAACTTACAGCTGTCCTTTTGCGCTTCCGTCCGTGGGTTTAGGGTTTAGGGTTTAGGGTTTGGCCTTTTCACCAAGGACGCGAGACCTTTAGATCAATCGATTCAACGCACACATTGCCCTAGCACAGGTAGCATCCATGAATTCACAGTAAGCACATCGTGGAGGAGTCTCCTGGTGAGGCAATTCTCTGGCGTGCCGTGCGCAGATTTGCATCCAGCACAGGCGGCACAAAGTTGTTTGTTTGCTCTTTCCATAGATGAGATAACTACCAATGATAACTTACGATCAAATAACAAATCAGTCACGGCGCTCGGTCGTCTGGAAGCTGAATGTAGCATCACTCATGGCATCCAGAGGAGCACACGGCTCTGCGTATGTTGACAACTCTCATGCGAGTCTTCAACTCTATTGCCATTGATTCGTGTTGCACGACGCGGGGACATATCCTATGGGGTTTCCATGTGGCTTTGATCACTTCAGCTTTAGCCCTTCCGTCCTTGAGCCCGCGTCGACACGGCTCTCCCAATTTGAGCGCTAGAAACAGGAATAGGCACCGAGGGCGGAGGCTGAGTCTTCTTCTGGTAAATCTGCTCAATGGACTTGCCTTCGCGTCCTGGCAGTGGCTCGGAGTAGACCAAGCCTAGCAGCCCAGCAATGGCATGGTCCTTTGGCATGTGAAACGTTGGCCATGCCAAGATGCGCTGCTGCACAGTTTGCACCGTGCGCTGCGCTTACCCAAGCTGAAGCCAAAGCAGAGCGCACATAACTGCGTCGCATCGCAGTTATTAAGAGCGAAGATCATACTAGCTTGTCCCAGTGTTCCTAATTATTCGAACTAATTGTTGTTTGCACTTTTTCAATCTTATCCCAAAATAAATGGAGCAATTGGGAAATCCCAGACAACATGTTGAAAATGATTTCGGGATTTCCTATTTTGTTCTTATTTTTTGTGTTTTTGTCACTTTCCAAACTTTCCCCAAAATGATTGGAACAATTGGCAAATCAACAAATTCATAAATATGTTCCGGGATGTCCTAATTCGCCTCGGCGGGCCAAGGGCGCTCAGATCTCGTCTCCGAAAATGAACTTCGCTTTTCCCCTTCCTGTCCGGCTGGCCTGAAAATTTTGCCGGCGTCCAGCTCCATTAGCCCATTATTGTCGCAAATGCCTGTCTGACGTGTCTGAGACCTCACAGCCCAACCAGCAACCCAGCCAAGCAAGGCCCAGCCAAGCCCGCCCGGCTCCAACGGCAAAACAGCCAAACCCAGCCCAACCAGCAACACGCAAGACTAGTCTCGGGCCCAGCCCTATTGCCTCAACCCAGCCCAGTGTCTCACGTTTGCCTCAGGAACCAGCAACCAGCCAAGCAACGCCCAGCTGAGGCCCTCCACCAACCAACCCAAGGAAGTCTGCTGGCTCCATGACTCACTCCTGGTATTGTGCATCGCCTTGCCCTTGCCTCGAAAATCCTGCAGGCCCATGACACCAATTGAGACCTGTCCATGCCTGAATCCCACTTGACCAGCTCTGCTGCTTGCAGTCGAACCACAGACGCTGCGCGCTCGGCTGGGCTGAGGCGGGCAACGCGCAGCGTTTACAATTACTCTTGTTTGGTTCTGCTTTCCAAGATCCTGGAAAACAGGGTTTCCCGATTTATGCTTTCTAATCTAATTCTGATCAACATTCTAACTAATTATAAGAACTTGCAGAATTTGGAAATCTGTTCTCCGGGATTTCCTAAGTAGTCTAATTACGTTGGTTGTGTTTTCTGCACCTTTGCTAGGTTTTCCTAAGAACAATTAGAATAACAAGGATATCAAGAAAACCCATTTATGAATGTTTTCCTTGTTGCGCTTGTCTTTTTTGGTGTGTTGTATTATTCTTGGGGTCTTTTGCAATTTCAATAATTAGGAAATCAAGATAACCGTTCTACAAATGTTTTCCGGGATGTCCTAACTATTCTAATTGTGCTGGGGGTGTTTGTGCACGTTTGTCAAATTTGCACCCAAATAATTGGGAAATCCAGATGAAACATCTTACTAGCATTTGAAGTCCTAATCATTCTGATTGTTTGGGTCTGCTTTCCAGTATCCTGGAATAGATGTTGTCCTGATTCTGCTAGTTCTTCTAATTCTGCAAAATATTACAATGAATTGGAAGAATTAGCAGAATGAGAAAAAAGCTTTCCGGGGTGTCCTGATTATTCTACTTTATGTGGGGAAAATTGCAGGAGGGTAACCAGGAAGTTCCGCCGGACAACATTTCCCAAATTATGCTACGTATCTAAGTAATTCGGACAATCAGCAGAACTAAAAGAATTAGCATAGTTAGGAATGGTTTCCGGAAGTCTGGAAAGTAGACCCACACAATTCAAACATTTTGATAAGAAGGAAAAACGTGTTTAAAATGGTTTCAAACACTGTCAAAATGATTTGCGGGATGACCAAAGCTAACTATTTTGGAGAGAATTGCAAAAGTGCAAACAAGAAAAGAAACCAACATCATTAGCATTATTGGCGGGATTAGAAGCATTGGCAGAATTGGGAGTGTGAAGACTGCGCTCGACATTTCATGAACATTTGCGACCGACTGAAACGCTGGCTCAAGACGCATCGAGAAAGGGCGCGCACCAGTTTTTACCCCAACATAACCATAGATTATGAGCCCAAACCAGCCATGATGCGCAGGCGAAGACAACAACAAGATCTTGTTCGAGAAGGAGAAACCGCCGACCAGGCGCTGGACAGGATGATTCGCGAGCACGGGTTTTCCAGGAGGGCAAGCCCGAAGAACCTGGCCAACATCGCTTCCGATTGCCCTAGGCAGAATCCACAAGCGATTGTCAATTCCCGAAGAGTTGAAGAAGCTCCACCTCCAGCATCATCACATGACAACAGATCAATTTCGATTCAGAACTCGTTCGCTTCACTTGCCAAAATCAACATTCGATCTATTTGACAAAATCCGAAGTGAATGTGAAGTTTGCCAAGCGGCAAAACACGCACCATCACGAAGCAAGACGAGTGGACTTAGAGCGGACACCTTTGGTGACATGACATTCATTGATCACTGTCAAGTTCCTCTTGGAACAGCAGAACACATCATTGTTTTTGTCATCCTGGATGGAGCAACAACATTGCTCACTGCAGAGGCAGTGACAACTACGCATCAGGAGTTGTCGCAGATCAAGCCTAGCCTTCATGACTGTCACCTACGAGGGTGTAACACCATTCAAACTCGCGTTCGGAAGACGACCAGCAGATCTCATCCAACTCGATGTCGCAACACCAACTCAGTTGACGATTGACAGGAATGAGGAAGAGCTGACAGCCATCCAGATCAAGCAGCTGTCTAAGCAAGCATTCCAAGAAGCACGTCAATCCAAACACATCCAACGAGACCTTGCTCAAAATCTCCGAATCAGTTCTAAGCCTCTTCAGGTGAAGGACAAGGTATTTTACTGGCAGGAAAACAAATCCGTTCCGATGGAAGCAAGGGAGGAATATGGCTGAAAGGAAAGGCCATTTCCATCGAAGGAGCAATGGTAGGACTTGATCTTGGGACTCGACTCATTAAGGTTAACATGACGAAGGTCAGGAAGGATGAAACCATCCCTCCCGGGAAACCTGGAATTGATCTTCTCTTGCCAGAAGAGCGAGAATCCTTGCAGAAAGAGCAAGCCGGCTCCTCAGCCGATTCCAAGAAGGAGGAGTCACCCGCACCAGCTCCTAAGCCAAAATCCTCAGTGCCATTACGCATCGCGGGAAAGACAACCCCCGAGCCTGCAGCGCCTCATCCGGCAGAGAACATGTTCGTCGAGGACCTCACATCCGTTCCTGAACAAGCACATTGGAATTGTGTACGTAAAGGAAGGATCCACGTTCTCGAGATCTTTGCAGGAAGTGGCAGGTTCAGTCAATGCTGCTCACTCACAGGTCTCAAGGTTGGGACTCCCGTAGATGTCCGCACCGGATTCGACGTAATGACATCCAAGGGACGACACATGGCCATGGAGATCATCAAGGAGCAAGCACCTGATGTAATCCTCATGGCATCGATCTGTGGACCGTGGTCAAATATGCAGAACATCAAACAAGACCAACAAAGAGTCTGGGATGGGAGAAGCGAAAACGCTATCTTCCCATGGTTGAGTTTGTGGCATCCATTGCGCGATATCAGTTGAAGCACGGAAGATACTTCATCATTGAAAATCCTCAGACATCCAAGATATGGTATCTGAACTGTATGCAGCAACTATTTTCAGATCCGTCCGTGACCTGGGAAGACTTCCATTTCTGTCCATACGGACTGAAAGATCCTGAGTCCGGACCACGAGCTTGATGCACTGTTTACCTCCCGAGGTAATGAGACGAATTTTACCAGCTCAGTCAAACACGAACATCGACCCTTAGAGGGAAATGCTGGTACTTTCGGAAGCAGGACTAAGCTGGCACGTGTATCCTTACCAGTTCTGTCAAGATCTCGCGCACATCCTCCTGCGACACTTGAAGGTTAAACCACTTGACAACGAAGTGTATTTCTTGGAGGACCTTTTCGGCCCATTCACCATCAAGCAAGTTGACATCCTAAGAAAGGAGATGGAAGCCATTGACAAAGAGTTCAACATCACCAGCAGTAGTCTTGCGGTCAGAATTCAGGATCTCCCATTCAACAAGGACGTTCAACCATTGGTCATCCAAGATCCGCTAGTCCAAGAGTTTCAGAAGACGATGAAGCAGTACCCTCCATAAACTGAAATCGATATCTTCAAGCAAGATCCTAATGACTGGCGATGTCAGAACATGTGGAATGGTTGCAAGAAGTTGAGACAATTGTCCACTCAGTATGACGCATGCACAGCATACGTCCACACCATCGGGATTAATATGCCAATTACGTCACCTCCGGACGATGCGATTATATCCTTCTGGCAACCTGATCGGCTGAATAGAATTTGGGTCTTGCCTGCAGCCAAATGCAATTGGGAGAAATATGATCCGAAGACTTGGCACGCAGTGATGTTTTCACCCGTTCATCAGTGATTCTCAGATGCGCCGGCTATCAGGCCGATGCCCATCGAGACGGATCCAACAGATCCAACGGATGAACCTCAACAACCAACCTGAGACCGTGCACTCTTAGTTTTGTACTCATCCAAGCAAGAATCCTTGAAGGCTTCATCCACATCCGTGCTCATTGGCAAGAAGCGGAAGGAAGCGACAGCCACTGAGACAAGGGCTTATCAGAAGCAATTCCATGAAGCTAGGCTTCTTGAGTGCAAATCTTGGCTTACTGGTTGACAAACGCAAGGTTCAGGTCAGGAACTGGGTCACCGGTC